AAAAAACTAAAGCGAAATCACTAAATAAATTATATTAGGAAATGAACTCAGGCGGATGGCATCGACTTGCAAGGGACATTGGCAAGAACCATGACGCAAATGGCGACTGCAAGAACGAGGTGCGACAAGTTCAGCGAACAACATGCAATGTGCATCTCTGTATGATACAACAGATAGGAGTGTGACTGTCACAACTTTGACATTAACAATTTTAACATACTGTAACCAGCCGAATTTCTGACGTGGTTCGCGGCAAGCCATGGGTATCAAAAATGAACCGCATTAGCAGAATGCATCTGAAAACGTTCTCGAAATGTGATTATACGACGATCATAAAACTAATGGGGACATAAAACTGAATGAACGGGCATTTTCATTTAAAAGTTACTGCAATAACCATAAGATAATTTATCCGGTGTCGTCCATGAGTCATCGACAAAATACTGGCTTATTGACTATTCTCTAGAAAATATTCACAGCTTTAAGGAAGGAAAGTTTGTAAACGTTGGAATGTCACTCCTCTCTACACCTTCATATGGGACAATTTTTGAGCCCTTCATTTAGAGAAGTTAACGGTGGGGCGCAAATCTCTGACTTCCATACGATTAAAAAGGAGTGTGTCATTTTAAAGACTGAATCGACAGCAGCTACGTGACAACCATAGATGTGTATTCTTCAGTTTCCTTCCCACTCATTCAAAAGTGGTAATCGCTTATGAACCTCATAAGGAAGAAACCCGAGAAAGGGTGAACGGAACTCTAACGGCTGAAGGTAATTTGTGATTAAGACAGAGCCTATTGACCGCCGGAATTGAGTCGGGAACCTCGGAGAAAGCGCACCAGTTATACACTGTGACACTGCGCCAAATAAAAGAACCGTTATATAAATGATGTGTATTACGTCGAGTAAGTTATGAACAAGGAAGATCAGCACACAATGTGCTGACAAATGATGATGAACAGCTGCTTAATAAAAACTAAAAGATAATCAAAATTTACAGTAAATAACAATAAAGACAAGCCTTAATATTTCCCTTAAAGGTGAAGCAATCCACTAATTTTAAAACGGTCAGCTAATGAAGCTGCTGTGTATGATGAGTAGCACAAATTCTTATGCCTTTAAGAAAAATCCGCGTTTCTATTTTTGAAGAGAAAGAAACCCTGATTTCGAACAGTGAGGCAACAGAATTAAGCCTGAATAAAAACTTGGTGAATTCTTTTATAATGCCGTTTTTCATGAGACTACTATGTTGGCTATTAAGATGGAAAGAAAGGAGGAACAATGCTTTATTTAGACGCTATTCAAAAATAATAATTAAACGAAGTTTTTAGCAAACAGATTAGATTAATACAGTACACTAACAGACTGTCTACCACACATTGTAATGATGATTGTTTTTCGATTCCAGTACAAATCCAGATGAGTAACATGCGTCACAAAAAAAATAGCATGTAAAAGGTATAAATACAGAACGAATCGACGGTACCTAGTTATCCATGCCATGCAAAGTACTAACAAACCATTTAGACGCTACCTCGCCAGTAACGAAAGCAAAGATAAAAAATATACCCTAAAACACAAAATGAACAGGTGTATCTAACTCCGTACCTGTGATGTAGACCGTGGCACCGGCTTCACCCAGCTGCAGCGCAATTCCACGACCAATACCGCGAGATGCGCCAGTCACCAGAGCGATCTTGCCCTTGAGCATGACGAACTGTTGGGGCAAAAAGTTTCACTGAAACTAAATAACTTCAAAAAACTCATCTACCGAATGATCGATATAGCGCAAGTCCACGAAAAAACAAGTCTCACAGCACAATGACAAATAACAGCGTCATTCTGTTACCACTGATTGCAAGTTGAATTCATTTCTTGATAAATACGCGTTTAAATTCGGTTCGTTTAATTTCAAAGTTCATCAGAAAAGATGGCAGTGGAGTAGAGAGAAGTTATTCGGCTGTGCAAAGACCGGGGTGGCAATGACGAGGTGAAATTTTAGTTAACTATTTATTCGCCAAAGTGAGGCGGGATGACACCAACGAATAACGACGAAAACATGACGTTCTGAAATCGCCGTGACAGAGATCGTGGGATACCGACCACAATGGATGCTTGACAGCTGTATTACGCTTTAGCTCATTCGACAATTGCATTAAACAGGACACATGTAAAATATAAAAATGCCACCAAGTGCAGCTAGAGGTTGCAGATAATGAAACAACACTCACAAACGTGGGAGAGTAAAATATCTAGCAGACAATCTCACGAACAAGTATCGAGTGACTGTAGTGCAAAAGTGTACAGAGACTTGATAGCTGATGTGCTTAGTAGAAAAAGTATTACTTACTTATCGCTTGATGATAACAACACTACGATGCCTGAATGACACG